CAAACGCAAGTGTGAATGAGATAAAATAAATTTAAGACTCTTCTGACACACACAAACACACACACACACACACACATACAATCAATAACAAAATTATTGATTTGATGTCTTTGACTTTGTGTGTATAGTATAATACATTTTTGTACGATATCTAAAGAAATATACTAACTTGTATTAAATATTGTACTAAATAATCCCTGCATTGGCTCTATATTTGGTCCCTGATTTTGTCACAAGCGTGGATAACAAATCATTATGCTTCAATGTGTATTTCATCCCATTTTTACGCGCGCGTGTATGTGTATATATATTTTTATATTATTCTTTTTATGCTATTTCTGCTCGATAAATCGGTCTTAATGACGTATTGTTGTTACCTCTCATTCCCATGTATTTATCGCTAATATTAGCATAAATCAGGTGGAGAGTGGACTGAGATTCTCAGTCGTTCAATATTCCAAATGTAAGAAAATTAGGCGCGGGGCGCGAGCCGTTTCAACCCTCAAAAGCATGAAACCCCCATCAAACTATCCATCAATCGATTAACTTCCCCCCTGCAACTTCTACTGTCCGCACCTTCTCCCTCCCTCTCTCTCTCCTTCTGTTTTAACAAATATCAATTTGACTACCGTCTAGCCTATTTCTTCGCATGAGCGGAAATTATCGGCAGAAAGGGCGAAAAGGAAGAAAGAGAGGGTGGCGCTTTAAATCGCGAGGCTCGCTCGAGCCGTCCGGGTAATCCAGACAGATGGGACTCGTTAATGGGACGCGCGAGTAATTTGCAAGAAATCTAATAACACCGTGGCCTGCCCCCTCCCCATAACTCGTGGCTTGACTTTCCACCTCGAGGCCCCTCTGCCCTCGCCCCCAAGCCGGCCGATCCTCGTTCGAGGACCGTCTAATGACAATACACGGGCACCGTGCTCGTGAAAATTAAAATTCGCCCGGGGGTCGTGCACGACGTTCTCGTACAGCACTGGTCCGACCCGCGAGCACGTGTGAGTGCGTGTGTCCAGGTGGTCGTGGGAGATCGCGTGTAGCGATGGCGCCGATACCCACGCGAGATACCGCGAATACAGTGTCGAACAAAAGTCCGCGATTGAGTACGCGGGTAATTAATCGTCCGTCGATTCACGTGTGTTATGAAAGGTTCTCTATTTGTCGATTATTGGTAATGTTTCACCTTAAACATACAAACGCACCTACGTTTTGATCGGGCTTTCCTACCGAAAAATAAACGTAGCCTTGTAATCGCCCCAAAAATTTCCACTTATCGAATTCTTCTGTTATTTTACAACGTTTCGCGATGCTTTGTAAGGTGTTAGGCATTAATCGATTAAATTTGGCTTGACTAAAATTATCAGCAAATCAATAATCGAAATTGATCAGTCATCACGTATGAAATCACAAACAATTTCGTCTATTGATAAACTTGTTTGTGATACTTTTTTATTGGTTAGACTGTGATATGTGATTGCTTATACAATGATCAATAATTACTTTTACCAATTAACTGAATTATTCGTGATTACATACATGACGATTGATTAGTTTTGATGATTGATTCGCAAATTGTTTTAGCCCAAAACATTTTTAATCGATTAACAGTCAACACTGTTGTGTATGTATGTCATGTTATAGTTATTATTCATTCGATGAAAAACGTTAAGCTCTCTTATTTGTACGAATATACTCTGTGACGTTACGCAAATACGGTTTGGCACTTCTCACTTGAAAGTACAGATCGGTGTTGGCAGGAGGAACCTCTCCATCGCTACCGCGCGTCCATTCACGGTCGTGTGCGTGAGCACGTGCATGCACGCATGCATGCGTGCGTGCACACACCGCAGCTCGCATAGAAGAAGAGAAAAGACGGCGCGGGGGAGCGCGGAACTCGTTAAGCAGTTTGCGGTTCGTCCCGTCCTTTTTTTCCACCCGGGCGCGCCTTTAACGTAAACATATTCCGCGAAGAGATCAGCATCTTCCTCCCTGCGCGTCGCTTTTTCTTCTTCTTTATTTCCCCTCCCCCAGCCCTGTCTTTCCCCGCGCGCGTCTTTGTTTCTTATTACGCGCCGCTTTCTGGTATTTCGGTCCACCCACGACGCGCGCGAAAAACTCGCCGGTGTGAAATCGAAGGGCAATTTTCCGCGATATACGGTGCGACATACCACACATATACATACACACAGTGGGTCTTGGTACGTCGCACCTTGCGATTATTACCGCGCCTAAATCGCAAGAGGTACTTCTCAGCCGAGAAGATTATTGTCGTATCAAATGCACACAGGCCCAAGACTGTCCTGAGAAATACAAAAAGTGGAAGAACCACTTCGAAGTCAGTACGGAGGATTCCTCTTCTTATTTCGCGCTAAATGCGCTCGTTCGTCGCCGAATTTTATCTCGCCGACACGGGAATCGCGTTCAGGCCCCGACGGCGCAGACAGGAGAGAGGGAGAGTCAGATGGTCGCATTTAGCGCTAACTGCGCGTTGAGAATGCGGGCCTATGATCGCGAAAATATACGATCGATAATACGACATACGATCGAGGTATGCAGCGGGGCGATCTGGCCAGATTAGACGCCGATTAAAATTCACGGCGTGTTCAGGCAGTATAATTTGATTTCGTAGGTGTTCGTGCAGATCGAGTTACGCGAACCCAGCGGAATCGAGGAGGACTCCAGCGTGTGTTCTTCGTTTTCTCTCCCTTCGGCCGAAACGCGAATCTCGCACACGCGGCGGGCCTCCCTCCTTACTCGGAATAACACACTTGACGACTATTAAAATTGAGACGCGCTCATTATCGATTCGCCACGCTAATCGACCATGGCGGAGTTCGACTCACGGATTCCCTGTAGATCGAGTTACATGCGGCGGATTCGATTATTTCGTTCGATTAGCCACGAGATCGCTACAGTGGAGTTGTCTCGCAACGGTAACCTCGATTGTCTCCCTTCCTCTGACTCGCTTGGCCGTAATCACGCGAAAATGATTCCGCGACATCTTTTTATGGAGGATGTTACCGAATATCGTTTTCGTTTCCGTAGGAGTCAATTTTTTCTCAACACTGCCTGTAAAATATAGACATTTTTTTTCCCTCTTTAATTTTAAACTGTCTAACTGTCTTTGATGAAAATCCTGATTATTGCCGGAACATATAATATTGAGAATAATTCAAATTATGCATTGAGAAAAAATACTTGAAAGTTATGAGATATAAAGTTCATATTTGCAGAAAAAAAATTTTTTTTATTTTTAATAAAATTAAAAAGAAAATTGAAATTAGAAATTATAATTAGAAATTTTATTTCACAAAAATAAATTTTATATCTTAAATGAATGTTGAAATATCTTTCCTCAGTGTGGTCGCAAAGAATTATAAATGTTAAATCGATTTTTTATGAAACAACATAAGCATTTTTCTAAATATTTTATAATTTTCTAATATTGAGCTTTGGACAATAATCATTTAAAAATTACAGGGAGCGCAATTTGCAATAATACCCTGAAAGGAAATATATTTAAAAAATAGAAAATATTTATTTGGTGGATATTAATAAAATATATTTACTCATAGCAATATATGTAAAATATTTTTCAAATAAGAAAATATACATCTTCTAAGTGCTCCCCCTCAGCTGTTCATGAAAGCAATTATTTATTCCATTTGAATAAAAAATTTAGATTTAAATAAATATGTTATTGATACCTACCAGAACAAGTTTTTCTCATTCTTAGATACTGTTTTTTCTCGATGCAACATTTCACGCGATATGAGATAGCTACAGATCACCTTCGACTTGCATCCGATTGCAAGTGGCTTCGGCGCACGACTTTACTCTCTAGGTGGATTTTGGAAACGGATTTGAATCGATTATACACATTTATCAATCGTGCCTGGTGGGATTTGTACCGTGTTTGATTCCGGGTCGTTTTGGATCAGCGGGTGGTCCGATGTCCGCCAAGAAAGAGGAAGAGGAGGAGGAGATAGTGGTAGTGGTGGTGGGTCCTTCTGTCAGGCTGGATCGGACCGCATTAAGAGTCGGACGGCATTAAAGCGTTGTTTAGCAGGCTATTTTGAATTTTAATTCCCGCGGTCGGCAACGCGTGTGTGTTGCCGAGGTGTGGAATAGATTAGTTTTCGCTCACACGACTGTCAGCTACTTGCCGCGGGGCCCCGACTGACTGACTCGATCGCAAGACGACAGATAACTAATCCCCACCCCCCTTCTTTTTCCTCCTCTTATACACACGTACGCGTCCACCTGTCGCTTCACTTTCGTTGATTCTCTTCCATCCTGCTGGTTACGTATAATCTCGTCCCCTATTTCCTTTTACTGAAGATAACAACGATAATAATGCAATAAAAAGTTGCGAATTTTAATAGGTAATGCTTTCGCAAACACAAAACTTGCAATTGTTTCAGAATATAAAATAGAAAATTATTTCTGACAAAATGAATAATCAAGCTGATCTTGATTTTGCGATATTCAGCCTAAAAAAAATCTAACCTCGTCCTTAACGAAATTCTCTGAATTTTAGAGAATTTTACTCTTAAGAGAATTCTTCTATAAAGCTAAAAGAAAAATATTTTAAGCACGATATTCTTAAAGTTAAAAGAATTTTGTCCTTCATCTACAATACAAATTTTATTCAGAAATTTCTTTTAGTGAAAGCATTCTGCTTCAAGTAAACATATATCTCTTTATTCAAAAGGAAAAAAGAATTAGAATAATATCTAATGGACTTCCAATTAATATAGTCCGCTTCATAGAAGAGGAATATTTTTTAGTAAAGATTTCAGTTGGAATATAGGAGTACAGAAAATAGCACCTTGCAACTAGAGTTCTTCTCTTTGAGTGTTTGTTACGAGGTGACTCTCTAATCGCGAAAATGTCCCCCCATTCGACCGCCCATTGAAATTCGTCCACCTGTCCACAGGAGACCCTAGCGGCGATGACAAACGACGAAAACGACGGCGGATCCAGCTCGATCGATGAAGATGCCGCGTGAGATCGCGGCCGCGTGCTCGCACGAAAGAAGCGCAGCCGCGGTTCAAGGCCGCACGTCTGGCCCAAGTTCAGAGCTCGTTGTTGCCGCGGTAAAAAGAAGAGGGATGATCGATGGTGAGAATCGACTGGGCTAGTCACTGTGGCTTCGTACAGGAGAAGACATCACCTTGCGGAGGAGGTGCCAGGACTCTACATTCGGCGCCTAACGCTCGAGGACCCCAGAAGGAGGGAACCGTCCGGTTCAAGGTCGCAGTCCCCGGCTCGCCATATCTGTCATCCTCGCAGCGGCTATGCGCCCTCGGCGCGAGGATCCTCGAGGTACCGGCCTGACGCTAACTCGAGGTGTCCCCCCTGACAAATTTACGGCGAGCCGGGCCCGCTGCTAACTGTAGCGCCACGATTAGTTCGAAGGCGATGATTGACAAGTCGGAGAGATCTCTGCATCGTCTCGACTACCTTCGTCATATTATTACAATGCAAACTGGCAATTAAGCGATCAAGAAACTGGTTCCGAGGAATTTCAAGCAGTTTTCGCGTATGGGCTCCCGTCTATATTTAGAACATTTCTCCGATCCCGTCGCTCGCTTAACATATATCGCTCTCTTTTTCTCCGTTCCTTATTAAATTAAGAAAAAGGAAACTCGACAAAAAAAAGAATTGCCATGTATCCCTCCCACACACTCCGACCTCCTGTCCCACCTGGGAAAGAGCGCCCTGCCTTCTTCCCTGCAGGTCTTTCCGACAGGTCGCTTGGGAAAATAAACCGATTCGATTAAAACGATAACGATTAACGAGCCGCGTTAAAACAACCTAATGGAGCAACTGATCGGTCTGGTTATCGAATGATTAACGTCAGCCACGTACAAATCAACGCAGTTACGCAAAGAGTCATTCTCGAGCTCCTCGAGAAGGAGGAGGCCGGTAACGGTGTCGTGTGCGCGCCCACGACAGAGAGAGAAAGCCGGTCTAGGAAAGTCGCATCTCTCACGACGAGCACTCGTTAGGACCCCGTAATTAAACGTACTAAAATTTAACGGTCGGTCCAGGACGTACGATCGCTGCTGACGCTGCTGCGACTTAATAAAGCCTCACGGGCGATCGCACCGGTCTTGCAGCCGGCACTATAACGTTATTAAAGCGGCTCTCGCATTAAAATACGAGCAGTATCGGTACGTCATTATCATCGACGTTTGATCTTCCTCTCCCTGCTCTGGTCGTCTGCGTCCTCTCTCTCTCTCTCTCTCTGTGTCTCTCTCCTCTTCTCCCTCTTTCTTTCTTTCGATCTCTCGCTTTCTCGTTCTTCTTCTCGTCGCGCCTTCGTCTTCTCTTTCCCTCGCAACGTCACGGGTTCCACGCTGTACTCCATGCCGGCGAACCTGACCTCCGCCCGAGATCCGGGCAAGGTTACCGAGTTTATTGCGACTTTGGAACGTGCTCTCGTTTCGCACGAAGCAACTGAGTCCTCCCACGTTTCACCCGAATTCCCTTTGATCTGTCCCTCTCCCTTTTCTTCGGAAGTCTTTCGGTATGACTGGCCTGCATATCTTACGACATTCGCCTCGCCCTTTACTCCCGACAATTAAGTCTATTGCTCGATTCGGTAATCTAGAGCAGTTTGTGGATCGCGACGTAGTTTCTCGCTCATGAGTCTATTCGAACTCCCCTTGTGATAGAGAGGATGATGTATCTGTTATGTATCTTTATTGTAAGAGGACCCTTCGAAAATACACGCAACATTAATGAAAAATTAAATATTCAAATAACAGTCATTGTTTGATACATGACATATAATTTTGTTAAAAGAATTTTACAGTTTTGAATTTCAACTATGTTAAGTATAATTTTATGTGAATATTATGATAATCTCATAAGAAGCACAATATGACTATTTTGATGATAATTAAATATCTTCCTCTAATATTTAAAAACAATCCAATATTTAGTACTTCCCATTCATGAAAATTAATTTTGAGTAATAAGAACAGATTTTCTCCGTTGAATCATATGAACTGTATCGATGCAAATAACTTATTTTCGTTTAGCGCTTTGTATAATAATCTCATTTTAAGATTTGCATGCCAAAATAAAGGTATTTTCAAAACGAGAATGTCCTATTTTCTGTGTGATTTCTTTCAGTTAACTTGTATGTTCTGCCGCTATTTTGTTTTCATTCTCTTTGCAAATCACCTACTTTTAATGCGCAATTTTAACACGATGTTGCAAACGACTGCAGCGCATGTTTTGTTCATTGTATATATTTGTTCGAGACGGCGATATTTATTTTTCCCGGGCGGACGAATGCAAACGCGCGGCGGATTGATAAATCCACCGAATCATCTCCCGTCATGATTATTTCCAGTGTCCAGGGTATTATTTTTCCCCTCGAGCTCTTCCCGCGCTTCGTTCTCCATCGCGCGCGCGAGTCCGCCTTTTTGCTCTCGCTATATTTTTTCATCCCCTCCTTCTTGTTCAGCTTGCGGTTCAAGGTCGTAATCTTCTCGAGACCTCCTTTCTTTCAACCAGTTCCCCGCTTCGTCTCCCTTTTAATCTTTTTCTTCGGACGTTCCTGCGCCTTCGTTTTCGAAGTTCAAGGCCTTCCTCCTCTACTTGAATATTTCCTCCCGATCTCTTCCTCGTGCACTCTCGGGTTTTTTACGCTCGGTGCCCTCGTCCTTTCCGCTTATTTTCCGTCATTCGCACACATTCCGTTTTCCCGTCGCGCCCCTATCGATCTCTCGGCTCACTTCCTCACCTTCGGCGATAAATTTCGTTACTTTCCTTTCCCTTTCCATCTCATATCCTTAGATCGTGCTCGGTTACCTATGGTGTTTCACTTTCAACTACTTCCCGCAACTTCATCTTGGTTATATTTCCTCTTAAATAACTGTCGATTTTCGAGATCCGTATCACGTCGCCCTCTCTTTCCCGGTTACGAGTCCTCCCTTTTTCCATCTCCTTTCCTTCCAACTTCTCTCTTGATATCTACGATATCAATCCCTCCCTTATATTTCACTTTCGCGCGCGTGTTCCTCCCATCAAGAGCTTCGTTCTTCCCTCTCTTCCTTCACGTGGCGTCTCTTTTTCCTCTCGGCGTTTCCTCTTTGACGTGTCGGGCCCTCCAGGCTCCGCAATCATATCTAGTTATCCAGTTGTTCGATGTCGACGAGAGAAAGGCGAGTATCCTTTCTCGTTGTCGTTACGAACCCTTCCTGTGCCGTCCACGTGCAATCATCGTGGCGAGCGATCGTTACAAGGTGAACGCGAAAAGCGTTGTTAACTTGGTCGTGAGCCCTGCGGCCCTTTCCTCGCCGTCCCTCGAAAGACACGTCTTCATTCTTGTTTTTTCAAAAATGTCACCATGATAGCAACACCTCAATACTCTGTATGTCTTAACTTTCCATGGAAACTTTTCAATCTCGAGAGTAAACAGCCACACAAGAGGAAATGCGTAAACAATTTTATAAATTATAACATTTTTCCGATTACTCATCCAGCGAGTTATAAAACAAACTGGATTTTTTAGAAGGAAGATTTTGTGTACCTGCAGATACACAAAGCGGAAGATGTAAGCGTTTTATGATAAAATTCACAGATCTAAATGAGCGCGATAAATTTAAATCATTATGGAATTCAATTAACGTGTTATTTGTGAAATTAATACACGTCAGAAATTATTCGCTAACGATATCCTTGCGATATATATGTTCTTAAAAATTGATTATATATATTATAAAAACTAATTGGCGGTGATTAGATACATCGGAGAGTCTGAATAAAATTTGGTTTCCTTGGAATGCATATATTATTTCTACGTACACTGAAAGAAAAGTGTTTGCAACTATAATCGCGCAGTGAAAGATTTATAGTCAAGAGAACTATTTTTGTAGCAAGTAACATTTTAGCGTCAATAATAATAATCTTGTATGCATATATTGTTGTTACTTTTTTGTGCTAGATCAACAAAAAAATATAATTGGTGCCGAAAATATAATTTTGGTAACATTTCTTTCTTTCAGTATACGATCAGATTGCGTTGTTAACCTTTTCTTCCGTTCGGTCACTGTGTCTAGCTACAGATCTTGGCTGGAGAGGATACGTAAGGAGAATCCGGCATTCTTGACGATAGTATCCCTAGAACTGCCGGAATCACCGATTCCTTTGATAGAGTCGCAGGCGAACGCGCGTTGGAAGCGGTACGAGCCTAATGAAACCGCGAGTGATAAGGATGACATCCTGGACGAATTTTTGGAGAAGGTCACGGAGGCCGGAAAGGAAAGAGAGAAGGAGAGTCGCGCGGCGAGAAACAATCTGTCACGGAAAAGTCGGCGCAGCGGCAAGAGAAATGGTGAATCCTTGGAATGCACGAAGGCGCTCGCCACCCTCGAGGAATGTACGCGAAACATCGTCGAAGGTCAGATTATTAAACGGATACTCGGGAGAAATCGGATTTCCTCTAATTAAAGAATAAAGTCAGGGAAAAGTACACGCGCCTGAAACACCTCGTACAATTAACAGCAGTTAATTAAAGCATTCCCCCGTTCGCCGTGGAGAAAATAGAATTGCGAAAACAGAGAGTCGCGTTTCTCTCAGGTTCTTGTAGGTAAAAATCGAGCGTGATTTCCGTTTCTGTGCAATCCCAAAATACTCGGAGTAAAATTGGGAGCCCTCAGATTGCGTTGTAAAGGTAATGCGGTAACGCGGCTAACGTCGTCGGGATAATCGATATCCGTTACAACTTAATTGTCCTTGAAATCGAGCGTTTATAGACCACCGCGAAGGATCCCGCAAGAAGTCCACATTTTCTCGTCCATCGGCTTTACATTTAATTACCAATTTTTTGCACGTTTACTAGTTCATAGATCAGACGCGGCGCGTCAGTTTTTATCGATTCCCGCTCGACTTGCTCCGAAAGGCCTCTTGTCGAGCACCCATAGCTTGCTTACGAAAGTCAAAGATCGATCCTGGTCGCGGCGATCGAGATCGGATTTCAAGGACGAGTGTCGCAGGATCGCCGCGAGCAGGGCCTTGAAGCCGCAGCTGGCAGGATCGCCGCTCGCGAATCCGTCGCGGAATCTTTTCCGCGTGGACACGTGGCGGAATGATCGCACGACGTTGTCGCTTTGCAGGACCGAGTCGCGAAGGATCGAGCCGGCGGGACGTCGGCGGCGACTGCATATGCTCCGAGGTGCCGCAGGATCTGCGAATTAACTTTCGCAAGAGGACGACGCAAGAGGTCGCGCGGCCGTCGCGCACTCCGAGCCCGGAAGTGACTCACACGATTCGGATCGCGATGAAGTACCGCGACCGGTCGGGACGCGCTGCCGAAGACGACGAGAGTCTGGATGAGGAGGACGAGACGGCGGTGGCAGCGGAAGAGGAGACGGCAGACGGCGGCAGGAGGACGAAAAACGAGGGGAGCAAGAAGGATCTTCAAGGTCCGCCGAACGCGAGGAAGGAACCGATGAAGCAGGACGGTTGCTGCGTCGCCGCCGTCGGTGTGAAGGCCGCCTTAGACTTCACACTAAATTGCAATAGCGTGCGACTCACTTCTCGTGACACGAGCCTGAAGACAACGACGAGGAGCGAGAGGCAGGAGCGGCCGGAAACGCGAAGTTAGTTCGCGTGGGTTTCCTCTCGAAAGTGCCTCCTCGCTCGCTCGATCCGTTCCTCGCGGTGGATGCTCTGTAGCTTTAAATAAACACCGTAGAGCATAATAGTCCTCAATTATTTTCCCCTTTCCTGCTTGTCTCCCGAGGTTTCAGCTTGTAGTTAAAATCTCCGCTCGCGGAATAATCTTTCCGTTTGAAGTCTACGCTCTCTATCTTTCTCTGTCCCTTTTTTCTCTCAGATATCGAGTACGTTCGCTTCTTCCGTGACTATGGAGGATCGTATAGAATCATGTGCGATTCTAGTTGCGTGCACACGCGGGAATAGTCTTTCCGAGTCGAAATTCTGATCCTACTTTCGAACCCGACATTCCATTTAATGTGTACTTTGAGACTCTGAAGCCTATATCAGTCTCTATTGATTCCATTTAACTTATTAGCTGTGTCGAAAAGTTTCCTTGAAAATCTACAAATGGCGTTTTGTGCGTTTTCTGCCATTTAGAAACGCCAAGAAAGACTAGTTTCCATATGTATTAAACATACACTGATCCTTCAGAACACGTAGATACTAAAAAATTCACGTCAATAATAGAGCTAAAATTTCGAGCTCAATATTTTATTTCACGTCTACTTTGATATTTTGAAGTCTATATCGACTTCTTTTGATTCTATTTCACTAACTAAGAGATCCTCTTTAGAACCTACTACAAGTGACATTTTCTGTTATTCAGAAGCGTTGAATAGGACTTTAGTTTTTATATGTCTTAAATATACACTGGTTCTACGGAGTATACAAATGTTACAAAGTTCAGATCGAAAGTAGGGCTAAAATCTCGACTTGGGTCAGAAGAAGTATTTTGGGAGCAAAAACCACGATAACGCGATCGAGATTTACATTAACCCTTTAAGTTTAAAAGTTAGGGAACGAGGACTGTCTAGGATAAATCGATAGTATTATTTCGACGGATTACTTTACCAATATAAAACACCTAGACAAGAAAGCTAAAGTGAATATACATAAATAATTCCCTACGCTGGGTCTCAAAGGGTTAAATTCGCAAATACGGTGGAACCTCGACTGCTTGTGATTTTCTGACTTCTCTTCCGTCTAACAGCGAGCTCGTCAGAGGGTCGCTGAAGCAACGGTGCCTCAGCACGCGAATCACGACGGGGACTGTCGACGGAGACGCGGAGCTATCTCGTCGACGGTGAGAGTTTCTAAATTTTGCTGGGAACCGCGGCAAAAAGCCGCTTCTTTTCCGCCGCAAGTGGGAGGACCGAGAGTCTCGCGCCGACCCGGCAAAATCGCCCGTGGAATCGTGAATCTTCCCGCGCGGCAATAAATCGCAATCGCCGCTTCGATTTCTGCGAACACGCGCGCGCGCGGAGATACGTCGAGGCGGCCTATTAATTAGCTCGTCTAATAAATCGCGACTGGCCAGGCGAGGGAGAAGAAGCGCGGGAAGCGAGAAAGCGAGACGATATCGCCGTCTCGGTCTTCCTCGTTCGCGATCTCGGGAGGTATGAAGAGGCGAAGAGGGCGAGGATAGCGAACAGATGGAACGAAGAGAAAGGGGGATGGGGAGGAGGGGGAGGCGACCAAAAGGGGGAGAAGTACGCCGATCAAGAGGAACAAGAAGAAGAGGAAGCGGACGAAAAAGAGAGACCATCGTACGAGTTTCGTTGGTGGACCAACGCGAGATGAGAATCGCGCGTCTAGGCTGGCCCCTTGGAAGGCTAAGCTGGGGCCCAAACCGGGTGAGAGAAGTTGGCCGGCCTGTCTCTCCGTCTTTCTTCATCTTCCTCTTTTCCTCCTCCGCTTCTCCGCCTCTTCCTCCCACTCTCGCGGGGCGACTATCGCGTTTTTATTTTGTCTGTGCTCCGCGCGTTGCGCGCTCTTTCTCTCTCTCTCTCTCCTTTCTCTCTTGTGCACACTCTCTCTCTCTCTCTCTCTCTCTCTCTCTCTTTCTCCCTTTCTCTCTTCCTCGGTCTCCTTCGGTCTCTCGCCGTCTCTCTCTTTCGCAGGGCGAAAATGGTTCATGGCCGTTCCCGAGCGCCGATTTCGCCGCGAATCCTGCGCGCGGAGGATCGACCTCTACTCCTTTATCCTGCGCCTGCACCTCCTCTCCCGGTCCTGCCGCTTTATTCGCCACGCTTCTTCGCTCCGGCCGCTTCGCAGTCGCCGCATCGCGGTTTTTCTTCGCGGTACTCCTTTCTTTATGCACGCGATTGCATCGTTCGCTCTTTTAACGCGCTGTAATGGAATTTCTGTTTTCTACCGGCTAGATTACTACCACCACCTTCACGGCGTTTTTTCTCCTCTCGCTCTCTCTCTCTCTCTCTCTCTCTTTCCCTTGCCGCTGCCCTGCCCTGCTCTCCCCCGTCGGAGTTTCGTTACTTTATAATGGACGGTGGAACGGTGTGCTCGGTCGAACAATATGGGAGCCGTTTATCACGAAAGTCGTAAATCATACTTCGAAGCACAATAAAGGAGTAATAAGATGCGGGTGCAAATTCATGCGATACTTCAGCGGGACTTTCAAAATACGGCTTACCGGCGTTTCGAAATGAATGGCTTCTATAAATTGTTGGTGGAGAGATCATTGCCTCTCTCGCGCGCGCAGTTCTCGTCGCTCACGAGAGATTCCGCGTCTCGTTCTATATGTATATTACTATCCCCTCTCGAGAGAAAGAGAAAGAAAGAGAAAGAGAGAGGGAGAGAGAAATGCGTTGCAACCTCTCGTCCTAAACGCACCTTCATCATCCCTCCCTTCTTTATTTTTGCTACACCTCTATTTAATTTCACTCACATTCAAGCTACGTCAATTGCAGCGTTCGAGAGAGCGGCTTCACCCCTAGCCGTGAAGCTACGTCTAACGCGAACGCGCCTCTCGGATGTTCAACTCGACGGGCATTAATTCCGCGCGCGGCATCCTTCCGCACGGAGAGTCCTTCCGCTCAGGTTACCGGGCTCTTCTTGACGTTTTCTTAGGGATACATTTTCCGCATTTACAAAACTACGTCATGACATGACTGACCCAAAGAAGGGGAGCTCATTAACTGCGAGATTATCACCTAGTTTCCTTCACGTCCGATCGGCCAGGATGGCGCCGCTCCCGTAAATAACCGTCCTTTGCGCATATCGCCAAGGGTCCGCCAAGAAAGGCGGAGGGACAGCGTGAAACAAACGCGAAAGCGTGTAAGTTCTAATCGCAAAGAGTCCTTTCTCTTGGATCAGGTTACCATAAATAATGATCCCTTTGCAATATTTATAGTATGCCCAACCCCCTGCACGGCCGCCTTTATGACCGCCTCCCTGTCATTCTTCTCCCTCGCCCTATCGTTTCTTCGATGCCGTTTCTTCGGTTAGGTTCACCCCCCAACTTTCTCCGCCCGTTTTATCCACTCTGCCCTGCGTGTCCTGCTCCTTTTGATCCGCTCGCTTGGCCGAGAGCCGAGCTGCTTTCCACCGAGTCCCTCTTTCCTATTTTTCGCCCTTTCCTCTTCCCTTCATCTCTCTCTCTCTCTCTCTCTTGTTCTCTTCCTTCCTTCCTCCCTCCCTTCCTATTCTCGGGCATCGATTAACGTGTTTACCCGATCGGCTAGCAGTGCAAAAACGCGCGAACGACCGCACCGGCCGCAATCGACGTTCGCGGAAGATCGCGGAATCGGAAAACAAAGAGGACTTTGTGCTCCGTTGATGAGACTGCGACGCGCCTCCTTCTCCTCTCACTCACCCCGCGTTTTTCTTCTTTTCTGTCGGATATAACGAGCCGCGGAAGGCGAGGGGAGGAGAGACGAGGAGAGGTGGCAGATAGGGAATTGGTATGTTGATTGCCGTGCTGGACGGAGGGAGCGAAAGAGATAGGAAGAGAGAAAAGGAAGGGATTTTGCGTGTTCTGGAGTCGGATGATCCCGCTTAAGTCGTGTTGCCGAAACGAGAATGGCTTAGCCGGCGCGACTTGTGAATTGATTTGACGACAGCTCTCTTTGTAGAGCTCGCGGGAATGGCGTAATTATGCATTTTCAATCGATTGTCATCTCTCGTGAACGTTAGGGGAGTGTTATGTGACCACAAAACACATTTGAGAAATTCCTCCAGATCGATTTTAAATTAGACTGAATGTCTCCTAAAGCTAATCTCGCGTAAATTCGCTGTCAGCGAACGCGTCTCGTTCAGGCGCGAGCACAACGACGGGGCTTGAAATTAAGATATCGGGCAGATTCGTTCCTTAAGTGGACTTCTCACTTGAGGGTCTCTCACTTGAGGGTCCTGACTGAGGATGAGGTTTCGTTTAGCTCAGACAGGCCGATTAATTCTGCCGATTCTTTGAAACGACCGTGCACCGCGAGCGACCTTTCAAATGTAATCAGCGAACGACCTCTCGTTCAACTGTATCGCGAAAATATAGATTGCGCAAAGGCGAGATCAAAATTTAGTCCCGTTCGGTTATTTGAAAGAATGGCATTTTATAATTGGAATGATAGTACGTTTGTTATCTGAAAATAATGACAATAACGGAAACGACTATACAAAGTAATCAGTCGTTAACACTTTGGCAGATTTGTGACGAATAATTAATTACTGAGAATAGAATTTCGTTTAAAAAAGATAACAAAGATAGCTTTGAGAATTATCAAATAACCAATTTATTCGATAATTCTCATAGATCCGTCTATAATTATTAGATTGGTGCAAGAGATCTGTATGATGCGTATCAAATGAAAAAGAAAATAAAATTACCAAATTTCGAGGGGTGGATAATTTGTGATAAGTAAAATTTAACTCGATATTTTTAGACATTTAACGACAACTCCCTACCTTCCTTTTGATATTCGAATTTTCTACGAGAGTTCAATATATAACAAAACTTTTGTACTAAACAATATATAAAAATAAATTCGTTTATATCTAATAAAAGCAGATGTGACTAATAAACGTAAAAGAAAAGATTTTTTCTAACGAAGTGCACTATTAATTGGACATTTGCTAGATATTATTTTAATTTCT